GCTTTCTCTCTTTTTGCTTCTTTAAGTATTTGTCTTTTCTACTTTTTTACCACAGGAGTGTCAATGTTTTCTAAATAATTTTTGAGTTTTTTTCCAAACTGCAGAATCATTACCCCTATCATTCATCCACCATAAATATATTAAAGTAGTAACTATCACACCTTTTCTGTTCCTCTGATTTATCTGAAAACTCTCAAGAAATCTTTATAGTATTTACTTAACATTTAGGATATTTTAAGTTTCAACCATTTAATATGGTAAATTTTGTGTCCTCAGAAAAATGACAATGAAGCAAATTACTTCAACACATTAAAAACATACTTCTGCCTGCAGTCACTTAAAGAGTTTATTATTACCTCTCCTATTTCCATGAGTGGCTCATTCATATCTACCCCACCATAGCCATACTGAAGATCAGCTTCAGTCAACTTATTCTTTTTAATATACTGGGTGTTGAGATACCTGAAAAATTAAAATAATAATAAAGTCAAAATCAGTAAGAAAATAAGTAACTTACAACTTTAGAACAATAATTTTACAGTTTATAAGTTAACTGCACAACAGTTCAGTAATTAACCACTTAATAGCTTACCCCGAGCATCATTTGGGCAATGCATGTGTTTATACACAGACTATCCTGATCACTGCTTAGGCAGGTGTCATGTCAATCAGTTCATTCTTGTTTACAAGAGATACACTCGTATATCTGTTTTATTTGTTTTATATCCACTATTTTTTGCATGCTTTATTTAGAACATTGTATTCGCCTTTGATGTTTGCTTCTAGTGAAATCTAGTAAGTCTGGTTATTTTCTTTTACTAATCTGTATTTATTTGTAAAAAATTCCTACAATCTATAGAACTCTTATTGTAAGTACATTTATAATGTTTATACTTCTCCAGAACTCAATGATTTTCTTTTACAATACAAAATGGACAGGTTTGGGACATTAAGACCGCATAAGAAGGAAGGGCCAAAGGATCTACAAAGGAAAAAACTGAAAAAAGAAGAAATGTTAGCATATCACAAAAGAAAAATCTGTGTTATGAAATGGAAAGACAAAAAAGACATCTCCTTATTGTCAACTATTAACACAGAAATGATAGAACTTAAAAAAAAGAAATTATAGAACTTGAAAGAAAGAAAAAAAATTCCAGTAGTGTTCAATGATTATAATATAATAATTCTATGGGTAGTGTTGACAGAGTTGACCAATATCTAACATGCTATCCTGCAATTAAAGATTATTATTATTATTATACCATTATGATTATTGTTACCAGGAATTGAACTCTGGACCTTGCACTTGCCAGACAGGTGCTATACCACTGAGCTATATCCTCAGCTTGGAAAAAAGTATTATTGTAAAATATTTTCTGAACCAAACAATATGGAACTCATTTGTCATTTTTTCAAAACAAAGGAATTCAAAAAGTCATTTACACAGGGTGTAGTGGCACACACCTGTAATCCCAGCACTCAGGAAGCTGAAGTAGGAGGAGGATCGTTGCAAGTTCGAGACCAGCCTGGACGACAAAGTGAGCTCAAGCCCAGCCTGAACTGCATACATAGTGAGACTCTGTCTCAAAAAGACAAAAAAAAAAAAAAAAAGGAAAAAGAAACAGCTGGAGATCTGGGGATGTAGCTCAGTGCTAAGACCCCAGTTCAAGTCCCAGTGCTGCAAAGAAAACAGAAACAAAAAGGAAATGAAAATATATAGTTCTAAAATAAAATGTGTAGAAAGGGCCTGTCATGTTCACATACATACTTTCACCACCCTACATTTCACTATAGCCTTTACTGTTCATAACTGAAAACTATTCATTTGAAAAGGTCTGCCAACATGTAGCTGTGGACAGTTCAGGTTTTTAGGCAAAACCACAAAACCTGTATTGTAAAATACACCCTTCCCGAGGATGTTTCACACTGAATGTGAAAGGTCCACTCTGCATTTACAGACAACTGAAATATAAACAAAGACAATAAAACTTATCCCTGTATAACTTGGGAAACAATTCCTGGACTTGAACCTAAGCCAGTATATCCACAACCATTTACACCAGCTCCGCTTCTACGTTCACGATCATCCAGACTCTAAACTCCAAGGCCTACAACCTTGATGTGCCAGTGGACAGATCAGACTACTTGGTTACAAAATTCTATCAGTATTCACCCCAAATGCTATTGCTTCCTTCCCATTCTTTCCCACTGGAATGCTCACTACGTCTTGCTGTGTTTCAGCTCTGGGAAGAGCAACATGATTGAGGAAGAAAAGAGAAAGGAAGACAGGATCACTTCCAAAGGCACTGTCCCATCCCAAGGATCTTAACGGCCGCCCCAGCCCAGGTCTGAACTCAAGCCCAGCCTGCTGGCCTGCCCTGACCCATCTGCACTAATCTTTCCTGCTTCCACAAACCAGCTAGCTAATGCACAGCTGCCTTACTACTTACAGTGCTTCCTCCTATGTGAAATAGTCCTAATATCAGAACACCAACTTGCAAAAGCAGCCCAGAGCCACATCGTAAAAGCCACAAATGTCAGGAAACCAAAGTAGCCAGTAACAATTCTTTGGACCCTATCATGTGTGAGCCATAGCACTATGCAATTAACCTGGCTGAACATGATGAGGTACATGTGTGGTGCTACTGTGACCCTCTAATACTCAAGAGAACAATCTAAGGAGGATCAAGAACTCAAAGGTCATTCTGCTAGGAGGTGGCTGGACAGACATTCTCCTACAACTGCTGTCTACCCAGGACTGCCCCCCAGTACTACGCTATGCACACATACTGGGGACAGAAGACCGAAGTCAACAGTGCAGTCCCTGTTACACGTAGAGCATATGAACAGATACAGTATGTCCCATGCTTTCTAACTAGCAGGAACTTAATCACCATCCTTCTCATTTGTATGTGCTTCCTATACGGACACCTTGGTCCAAACCACATCTTTTTGTTCAGTGGTACCAGGGCCATCCCAGTAAACCTTCCCAAAACATCAGACTCAATTAACTCCATTCTCCATCTTGCCTCTAACTAGGCCTTCATATGTCCTCTCACATTACTTCTTTTAACCTCCAAAGCCGCTTGTTCACCCTCTGGTTGGAATTATGCACAACACCTTATAGCTGATCTTTATTTCCAGTTTCTGGCATCTCTAATTCATCTAGAAATTCTGCTTTCAGGTGTCAATTTCCTGTTCTGAATTCTACAGTAGTTCCTTATACCTACCTAATCCTGTAAGTGTAAAATTCTTGACATTGTGGTTATTTGCTCTAAGAAACAGCTGCTAGATCTACAGATTAGCTAATTCACTAATCTGCAAAGTTTTCTCTGTGCTTTAAAACATGTTGTTTTGATGGAGCTCTATGTCTCATATCAGCTAGGTTAAGTCACTACTTCTTCTCTCACAGAATAAAATTCAGTCTAACTTACGTTAACTGTATCTTTCCTATTCCTGATTGCACTTCTTGATGACATCAGTTAAAGCTTAGTCTTTTTTTTTGTACTGAGAATCAAACTCAAGACCTTGAGCTTGCCAGGCAGGCACTTGTGCCACTGAGCTATATCCCTGGCCCTAAAGTCATAATTTAAAACAGTGCAATTTTAAAAGTTTGATAAAGATACCACTCTTCCTCCATTTCATGTCACTGTAGTTATTTTATAACCAAATTTACTAAAATTTACTAAATTCACACATTTGTTTGTGAGTAAAGACATATGTTGCAGGAAATCATAAAATGAAATAGCTTCCAACAGTTCTAAAATAGCCTATACTCTACCCGTGGAAATACCTGATTGTTTTACTGAGGTATAATGTTAGTAGCACATGTTCTAACAACGACTTCTGTCAACTGAGTAGTTAATAAGTAAGCCTTACTTTGCTGTAGTATAACAGCAATGCAAGTCATAATAGTAACTGTCAAAAACTATCAACCAGTCAGACGCGGTAGCCCATGCCTGTAATCCAAGCACTCTGAGGCTGAGGCAGGAGGAGGATTGTTTCAAGTTCAAAGCCAGCCTGAACTATATAGGCAGAGCTTGTTTCAAAAAGACAAAAAAGGGCCGGGGATATAGCTCAGCAGCACAGAGCCTGCCTAGCAGCATAAATCATAAGTTTCATCCCCGGTACCAAAAAAAAAGACCAAAAAAACCCCAAACAAACAAAGTATCAACCAAACCAACCAACCTCTCTCCCCCTGTCTCTCAACAAGGGCACACTTTCACTCAAGCTATCATAAACTCCTGGGCTCAAATGATCTTCCTGCCTGTCTCCCAAGCAGCTAGGACTACAGGTGTGCACCACTGCATCAGGCTTAAATATATAGGTTTATCGGTTCTTTTTTTTTTTTTTTTCTTTCCTATGCTGGGGATCAAAACTGGGTTTTCACAAGGCTAGGCAAGTGTACTCTACACTGAGGTACAGCCCCAGCCCAGATAACTTTGAACCCTCTAAGAAATCCAGCCTTTTGGTCTACCCTAGAAAATCCCATCTTAAGAACTGTTCTCAGGCTCATGCCCATAGGATTGTAAGAGCTGTCTGTTCCCAAGTTCTCCCCTTAAGTACTGGACATGGTCCAGGAGGGTTTGCACAGACATGAAGAGTACTGGGGAAAGCTGAGCAGGGGGTCACTGTTTTTATTTAAAATCTAAATCCCTAAGTGACTGATGCTATTGAATAGTCATAAGTTAGACTAAACAAGAGACTAGAAATTATTTCATAAAAGTATTTTTTAAAAACTGAAAACAAAACTGATTTTTTTACTTTACATTTCATTACTCTTTCCTTATAGACTATGACTAGAAGCAAAAGATAACCTGGACAATCTACCAAGCAAGCAAAATACTATTATGCAGTTTTCATTTAATTACTATCAATTGTGCCTTCGGTGAAAGTGATTTCACCACTTATTCTACCAATATGATTAAATAAATAACGCAGTCACAAGACCGTAACTATAGAGTCCAAACAAAACACTCCACTAATAGAATCCCTTGGGCATCAGCTCTAAAGCTGTGCTACATACACAGCAAAGTTCCTAGTGATTTCAGACAGTGATCAAATTTGCACTCTAAAAAAGACAGCACAAGAAGTTTTCTGCATAGGACAATGAGAAATCAATGGATGCAAGACCAGCTACAGGGACATAATTATCAACAGTCCACATGGAAAACAACAGGGCTGGAACCACAACAGGAGTTCAAAGAGCAGGAGGCAGGTAAGAGCTCTGTGGAGAATGTGACAATGGGTGTCAGGCAGACAGGATAAAGCCAAGCAAAGGACATCTGAGACTCAGGCTCACTCTGGTGTAGAATGCCACCATTTAGATAAACTGGTTCATACTGGGGGCAATTGTGTACATAAATACAAGCTCAGTATTGAACATCTGCAAGAGCACCATGGTAACTTGCCTCAAAACAAAACAACTCCTCTGCAACTTAGATAGACCAGCTGGGATGAACCTACATATTTTGGTGGTTATTGACACACAGGTTGTCACCAAAACCAGGAGTATAAAGATGTCCCAGAAAAAGGAGAATAAGAAAAAGGATTAGAGCAGAATCTACTTAAGTAATTAAGAATGTGTACACAATAAGCTAAGGTAAAATGAAATGATTAAAGGGATGAGCTTTGGAATCTGACAAAACGTGGATTGAAAGTCTGCCTTTCAACCATTACCTATTTGAGCAGAAGTGAAGTCAATAACCTCTCTTAAGCCTTCACTTTCTCTGCTGGAAAAATGAAGATACCTATTATCTCACAGTTTTGCGCGCACACATCCCATGAACATATATATTTCCTCCACCAGTTACTAAAAGTTCCTAACTAACAGCAGTGTAGCAGTACAAAATTAACCAGACAGATTATCTCAACACTCGTCAGAGGCTGAGGCAGGAGGATCTATCAAGTTCAAGCCCAGCCTGGGCAACTTAGAAATGACTCAGCAAGACCATGCCTCAAAATAAAAAGGGCTGGAGATGCCAGGTGTGGTGGCACACTCAGGAAGCTGAGGCAGGAGGATCTCTGTGAGCTCAAGGCCAGCCTGAACTACAAAGTGAGGCCCCATCTTAAAAAGGGGGGGAGGCAGATGATGAAGATGTAGCTCAGTGGGGAGACCCTCACTCATGCTAGGCAGTGCTCCAATACTAATCTACACCCACAGTACTTACCTAGGGAATTCTGATCATTTCACCTTGGCAGATAAGAAAGTGAAACATCAAGATATTTAATACACGTTGTTTTATAGAAGCGAAAGCCACAGTAAACCCGTGCTTGACAGCCACTGTTCTCTAGTTATATCACACTTTGCTCTTCTAAAAGACACTACCTAGACACTGAGAAATAAGCCCAGGTTCACAGCATGGTGTGATGGTGCATGCTGTAATCCCAGGACTCTAGAGGATGAGGCAAGAGGACTAAATTAGAGGTCAACCAAGCCACAAATGCAACTTAAGAGTGAGGCTGCAGTTCTGTCACAACATCTAGGAGAGCACACATCAAGGAGGCAAAGAGAACGAAGAAGCCAAGAGACTTGAGCATTGCTCTCACAATACAGCAGTGCTACAAGGCATTCTGGGAGCACACGGGGATCTGGAGACCCGGCTCCACTTCCCAGCCTCTGCCTAGTGTGAAAGTAAAGGAGGCCATTCTGAGGCCCACACCACAGTGCATGGGCAAAATGACCACTGCATCTATCTCGGGCCACAACCACCCCAAGAGCAGCGTGGTTAAAGAAGGTTTTTAATGCCCTATACCATGTGTATGCACTATTCACCAATGAACATCTCTGGTTCATACCTAAGGACAGTCATGCCTCCATAAGGATGTTCTGATCAAGGATGGCTCACCTCAATGACAATGGTCCCTGGCATCATACTGTTTGCTGACGTCACGACCACCTTAGCTTTTGTACCTGGAGGCTGTGATGCTCACACAAACTCCCCCAGGGACACCTTTCTCAGAACCTATTCCTGTCACATTTCCATGCACATATGCACAGATCAGAGAGGATCAGCACACCAAAGACCCAAGCAGGAGGCAGGACAGGAATGGAGAGGCAACATCTGAAGAGTAGGTCAGAAATAGCAACTCAGAAAAAGGACGAGGAGGTATAGCTCAGGGTTAGAGCATCTGACTGCAGAAAAAGGTCGGACATGGAGCAGTCAGAATGAGCCTCCCGGTAAGTGAATGGGCCCAGAAGACGGACAGCTCACACCAGCTGTGCTTCCCAGAAACACTATCGCTGAACGCCAGTGTCAATGAGAACCTACAAGGGGACATGAGCTTAGGTCTACCCCGACTTTCACCTAAACTGAATGTCCACATTGATCTCTACTGAAATTTAACAGTACCTGCGGGCTGCAGGCAATGTAAAGAAACAGAGCCAGGACATTAAATACAGTTCTAGTTCTCACAGAACAATTTTCTACACACAGTATGGTTCCCCAATACCCACCAGACTCAGACTAGACCTTTCCCAGTAGAGGGGAACATTCACTTAAGAAGCAGTTATTTAATTCTGTATATTTCAGGAGTAAATAATAAACAAATATTCTTTCACTTATTGAATGCAAGCAATACTATTTAGATTGTCAAGATTTAAAAAAGCACACTTACCTATATAAGCAGTCCATATAATCTGCACCCTTGCTATATTCTTCCCAATACCTATGATACATAACAAGTACTTGTTCTTCAGACTCTAGAACTCTCTATATAAACAAAGAAAACATTTTTATTTAGAAAGCGCTAATCATTTTCATTGTAAAATACAAAATGTATAAAAACTCACCTTCAAAAATAGGTACTTCAAGCATTATAAGTTACATTCACAAACTGTACTTTAACTACCTCCAATACAAATGAAATAACTGGGAACCCAGGGCATGGAGGCACATGCCTATAATCCCAGCACTCAGGAGGCTGAGGCAGGAGGATCCCCATGAGTTTGAGGTCAACCTGAACTACATAGTGAGACCCTGTCTCAAAAAAAAAAAGTATGAAACAACTAGGGGAAACATAAGCCTAGGATTTATAAGTGAGGCCTTCATCACATAGATTATTTCATGCCAAGATAAAAGGATAAAAAATGTATTGGTCTCATTGTCTTTGGAACAGAGTATGAAGATCAGTTTAAAACAGAAGAACATGACCCTTTTGTCATGTATCTGCTTCCTCAAATCCAATACTTTTGATCGGCCAAGTTATATTAGTATATCATCACCTTAATGTTATGAATGGAAATTGAGACCTTTTCCCCAGAATGAGATTTTTACATTTATTTAACAGATAGCTATTACTTTTAAAAAAGTAAAAATCAAACAGAAATCTGTCTACTTTTTTAATAATTTACTTGTAAATCCATGCCTGTAATCCCAGCACTACTGAAGACTGAGGCAGGAGGGTCACAAGTTCATGCTCAGCCTCAACAACTTAGTGACCTAGTGAGATCCTGACTCAAAATAACAGAAAAAAGGCTGGGGCTGCAGCTCAGGGCAAAGGGCCGAATCTCATTCCCAGTGTCGCCAACTGACACCGTGTAAGGGAAATCCAGTCTGGCCATAAGAAACACACTAGAATGATGTTCAACAGACCTGAAAGTTCTCTGAACTGTTTTTCCATTACCTGTCCACATGTCCTTAGGTAAGATATGACCTCAGTTTTTATCTAATTCTCTGATGAAGTGCCATGCTTGCAAACTCAGAATTTTAACAATTAAAACCTTATGATAAAAATAACCTAAAAATAGCACTTTTCTATCAAATTGGTATATTAAAAAAGAACATCTGCTCTTAATGCTGGGGAATAAAGCACCCTTAATGAACTGATTCTGGTGGCTGGACTTAACAAACCTAGAAAATACTGTATCAATTAATATATGTTAAAAACAATAAAACAGGTGTGTGACCAAGCAATTTCCATGCCTAGGAATTTATCTGATAAAAACCATGGGGCTAGAGCTCAATGGTAGAGAGGGGACACTTGGCATGCACAAGAGCTTAAATCTGATCCCAAGCACTAAAAAAAATTATCATAGTCACACAATGATAATTTGACCAGAACCATGTTTACAATATTGAATTATTTAAAGTAGGATCTATCCAGCAACATGAGTATTTAAACAGCATCTCCAAACAATGAAAAATTTATGTCTTCCACAGCTATGAATTATTATATAACCAAAGTTCACTAGCTTACAATAGCAAACATTTTTTGCTTTTTTTTTTTTTTGAGACAGGTCTCCCCCTATGTAATCCAGGCTGACCTTGACCTCATAGTAACCCTCTTGCCTCAGCCTCCTAGGTGCTGGGACTATAGGCATGCACCACTATATCCAGTATAATAGCAAACTTTGAAACAAGCTAACAGTAAGACCACATTAGAGTACTTTCTGCCAAAACCACTTTCAGGAGCTAATAAATGCTCATGCTGAAACACTAACATGTACTTGCCATGAACAAAGAAAAAACAGAGTAATTCCACTACTGAGACCATAATCTTAAGTGAAATAAATCAAACACATACATATAATTACTGCCTGGTCAGGGCGGGGGATGTAGCTCAGTTGTAGAATACTTGCCAAGCATGAACAAATCCCTGAGTTCAATCCCCAGTACCATAAATAAATACTGCCTGGTCTTTCTGGTGTAAGAAACCGAAACTATAAATAAGGACCAAAATGTATGGTAGATACTGTGAAACAGGAAGAAAATGTTCAAATGAGAAAGGAAACAGGGAGGGGGAGGGAGCAAGGAAAAAAGGAAAAGAAAAAAATGAGAAAAGGAAAAAACAGAAACAAAGTTTGCATAAACAAGGAAGGGAAGAGGGGTTAAAGGGAGAGTAGGGGAATGGGGAAAGAATGAATCAAGTTATATATATCATATACAAGTACAAATTCCCTATGATGAATGCTATCATTATGTACATCTAAAATGTACCAATAAACTTAATTAAAAAAAAAATAGAGCAATTCCTCCAAATGCTTTAAGGCCATGATCAATTGCGCCTACTTAGGGGTTGTTACTACCCTGGGCTCCCATGCACAGGATGAGACACTCCATGAGGACTGTGCCCCTGCTGTATGGCCTCACAGCTCAGTCCACAGGTGGCTGCTAAGGGAGCTTCCACGGCTGTCACAACAGCAAGTAACAGGCAGAATGAGGACCGCAGCCAGGCAGGAATTAGTTCCTTGAGGTCCCGAGAAGACGGACTGCCTAGAGAAGTCAGAAATGCTGCCAAGGGCAAAATGCTGCCAAACTCCAGTCTACACACAACCTGCACTTGGCACAACCGGCCGCAGACAGCGCCGACCCCACTCACACTGCTCTCCCGCTTCACTTTAGGTGTCTGAAGACACTATACACCACGAGCAGACGGCTGAAGGGCTGAAAATAATAGAGATCTACCAACAGGCAGGAATTAGAGGTAAATTTTAATTGTATAAACATCTAGAGGACAGCACAGTGTATTTTCACTGAATAAACCTTCAGCCTACGCTGCTCCTTCACGCACTAGTTACACAATCTTGAATAATTAACCTCATTTCCCTTGGAGAACAAGAACATAATGCTTGATTTAAAGATCTTAAAAATAGCTGAGTGTGGTGGCGCACGCCTGTAATCCCAACGCTCGGGAGGCTGAGGCAAGAGGACTGCCCAGAGTTTGCGGCCAGCCTGGGCTAGCTAGTGAGTTCAGGCCTATGCAGCGAGACCCTCTCTCTCAAAAAAAAAAAAAAAATCTTAAAAATATACATAATTTGAAAAATGGTGTTTAAGAAACTTGAAAAAACCTGAATTTGATACAAGTTATACCGTGGAAGACAATAAACAGGTCAAATAACTATGCAGCTATAAACATATTTATATTATGTATATATTGTTGCTTACCTTGTGCAAATGCCGAACGTGACTTTCCAAAAAACTCTTGGTTTCTGTGTAAAGTCTTTCTCCAAGAGGTTCAGGATAGGCCACACATAAAGCATAGATATCTCTAGTTAAATTATTAAGGTTTTCATATTTGTTAGAGTTAGAATTTTAAGCTACTGAGACTTAAATTTGGTAATTAAAAAGTAAAAATTTATTTTGTGAGTTATGCTTATAATACACATAATGTTATAGTATGTGTAATACTGTAGTACTGTTTAATATATAAGTCAAAGGTAAAACATATAATCATGCTTTAAAAATCACTATAAAATTCACTTATTTATTCATTAAAGACGTTTTTTAGCTGACTATGGCAATGTACACCTATAATCTCAGCAGTCTAGGAAGCTGAGGCAGGAGGAGGACGATCATAAATTCAAGCACAGTCTAGGCAACTTAACAACACAGCAAGACCCTGACTCAAAATTTTAAAAAGGGGTATGGTAGGATGTAGCTCATGAGAGGGTCCTGGGTTCAATCTCTAGTACCATAAATATAAAAGTTCTTATTGAGAATTATTTCAAAGCACTACAAAAAGAATGCATCCTCACAGAATTTAAAATCCAAAAGATTTCCAGCCTGAACTGGAAAATCGACATACTCAGACACCTTTAAAATCAAGTTCATCACCAGGTATGGTGGCGTAGGCCTGTAATCCCAGCACTTGGGAGGCTGAGATACGAGGATCATTCCAAGTTCGAGGCCAGCCTGGGCTACAAAGTGAGCTCAAGGCCAGCCTGAACTGTACAAGCAAGACAAAAAGACAAAAAACAAAAACAAAATCAAGTTCATGTAGGACGTTATGACATATTATCAACAAAGAGCCATGGAATACCACAAAAGGCAAGTATGTATACACAATTTTGAGAAATTATAAAAATTTCTCATTGGACACATTCTGCTACCTCACAGTGGCCAACATGTTGTACAACCTAGCCATGACTTTCCCCATTTATTCCATTATTTGAAATACAGTATGAATAGTAATAATAACGTCAACTAGTCAGTTAAGGTTTTTGAACTCCCTTAAATAGCCTGCTAGGTAGATTTATTTGCTCTAGCACAGAGAGCTCTGAACCAGGAGTTAAGGGAAACGAGATCTAAGTGACACTTCATTTGTGCTAACAGTAATCTTGACCAAGTTGCTTAGCGTCTCTTGAGTTGCCATTTCCATTTTTCCTTTTTTAAAATTACTCTTTGAGGGCTGGGGATTTAGCTCAGCGGCAAAGCGCCTGCCTGGCAAGCACAAGGTTGTGAGTTCGGTTCCTGGTACCGGAGAAAAACCAAAAAAAAAACAAACAAAAAAAAATAAAATAAAATTACTCTTTGAGGCCAGGCATGGTGGTGCACACCGGAAATAAGTTTATGCAGGATGGAGTCAAGCATTTTTAACCAAAAGTAAGAAAATGTTACAAAAGAAAAATCTTTCATAAAATATGAATAAGGGCCAGGAATAATGTTACATGCCTGTAATTCGGGCACTCTGAAAGGTTGAGACAGGATCCTAAGTTTGAGACCAACCTGGTCAACTTAGTGAGACCTTGTCTCAAAAAGGGAAGTTGCTCAATGCAGTCTCAGTTGATTATGTAGAATTTCAACCAACTACCTAAAAGATATTTACTAAATAGTTTAGTTTTCTCTAATCTCTTCAAATATCCAGCCATTCTAGATATGTTTGCCCCTTAGAAAAATCACTTTTGAAGAACACTTTCAGCCTCTAATTCAACTGTGGTTTGGTTATAGAAAAGATACTTACAAGAAATGGGAAATAACCAGAGTTCAGATTTCAGTATCTTCCAAGACTCTTATTTTCAAAGTCCATCTTTTGGGAGCCAGAATAAAATAAAAAATCTCTAATATTTATGAACTACCCATTACACAAATTCCTACAATCAAATCAGAAACACAGCTGTTCCTGAACAAAACCTCTGAACAAGTTTCAGTAAGATGACAGCGTAGGTGAACAGGAACATCATTTTAGTACACTGTCTATCAAAAAGTCCTTCCTACACTTGCCCTAAATTTTGAGTTTTAATAATATGAACTTAATTACATGGTGCCTCAGTTCACAAACTTAATTTTTTCCAGATTCTGGTCACACACCAAATTGGATGAGAGCCAAATCAAACTCAATGGTTAGGTTTGATGTTGACCTTAGGAGGAATTTTGATTTCATTCTCATTCAATTCAGTTTGAAACCAGAAACATGGAAAGAATTAAATTCAAGCCGGGTGTGGTGGCGCCTATAATCCCACCACTTAGAAAGCTGAGGCAGGAGGATCACTGTGAGTTCCAGGCCAGCCTGGGCTACAAAATGAGTTTAAGGCTAGCCTTAACTGTATAGTGAGGCCTTGTCTCAAAAAAAAAAAAATTAAATTTGTGAACTGAGTATATGTAGTAAGTAAAACCAGTGAGGGTTTCACAATGGTAATAAAAGTAAAGATCTTAAAATGGAAAATGGTATAGAGCTGGGGTGCCTATAACCTCAGTACTCTGGGAGACTGAGGCAGGAGGATCAGAAGCTTAAGCCCAACCTGGGCAATTTAGTGAGACCAAACTAAATTTTAAGAAGGCTAGGGCACAAAGATCAAAGCAGAGCCCAGCCTGGGCAACTTTGCAACTCTTTCTTAAAAAAAAAAATAAATAAAAAGAGTGGGAAATGTAGCTCAGTGTAAAGGTCCTGAGTTCTACCCCCAGAGCTGAAAAGCAAAACGTATTTCCATCTCAATCACTGAATTTGCTATTCTACCTCCTCCTAGAACACGCTATTACTTGGAAGGATCCCCCCAGCCCAACTGTTAAAGGCTTGCTCCCCTACCTACGACACTACTAGGATGTGGTAGATACCTTTGGGAGACATAGCCTCGTGGAAGTCAGGTCATGAAGAAGTTATGTCATGCGACTGTGCCCCTGAAGGGATGGATCCTGGGATCCCAGTTCCTGATTCTCTATCTCCTAGACACCATGAAACCAGCAGCTCCCACCCCCACGTGCTCCCATATGCTCCCACGTGCTCCCACCATGATGTGCTGCCCCACCAAAGGCACTGTGCCAACTGACCAAGGACTTAAACAGAGGCAAAACAAACTCTTCCTACTTAGAAGCTGATTGTCCCAATTATTTTGCTACAATGTAGAAGACTAACACTAACATTTTCAGCCCAGACAGCTAAGTGGCCTGTTCCCTCAGTTTGCTAAAGTCTTTACCCAGGGGTTACCATTCTCAGAAGATGCTCCACAACCACCTTACCTAAAGGGGCCACCTGCACACAAGCACTCCATGCCTTCTCCAGTTCTGTCCCTGCCATTTTTCTCCACAACATCTACTTCTGCCTATTACTAGGAGACACTGACATTAGACTTTTTAAAATGTGATAAATGTCTGTTTCTCTTATTATTTTTTTTTTTTGGTACTGAGAATCAAACTCAGGACCTTGCGCTTGCCAGGCAGGCACTTATGCCGCTGAGCTATATCCCCAGCCCTGTTTCCCTTATTATAATAAGAGCTAGTTTAAATCACAACTGTCTGCTTAAGGCCTATAGTAGAGCCTGAAAGATATATGAAGTGCTTAGTTTACCGCCATACCACCCCAAACCTGCCCAATCTTGTCTGATCTCAGAAGCTAAGCAAGGTTGGGCCTACCTAGTACTTTATTGAGAAATATAGTAAGTGCTCAATAAGTATGAAATAAAAGGTTATACAATACTGGTTGCCACAAGACATGATGAATGTGGAAATGTAAGTAATATATTTAAAATACTGACCTTGGAAGTTCTCTCATTTCAATAAATTTAAACAAATTTAATTCTCCCCACCGTTAATTTCACAACATTTATCAAGCTGCCACTAAAAGGATACGAAAAGCGATCGTTCCATGTTGTTCTCTCGACATATTCCAACATGACAACTGCTTTGATTGTAGTCAGGAGTTTGTTCCATGTTTCATCAAAATCTACTACTCTTGGTTTCAAAGACATTGTGCAAGTTTAGTGTTGAAATCTGTTGATTAAAAACAATAGCACTGTTAGCATTAATTCCATAAACTTGGTTGTTTTTAAAGCAATGTGTATTTTAAAACGGTACAATAAATGAAAGGTCTTGAAAAAACTGGTAAGTGGTAAAAATACAGTAAATGTTGGCTACCACCTTTTCATGACAAGGAATTTCACAGAATGGAAAACTACAAATTATTTGTGAACAAGGTGTCACATCAGTGACTTCTAAGCTTCAATAATATGTTGGAAAAAAGGTGGAACCTAACTAACCAAAATCCCAACTCCCATCATGCAAAGTATGCAGGAGACACTCAACAAAAGGGTTTTGCCCATAAATCCTTGCAGTCTGCAGTCCTTAAATTGGGGGATGATTTGTATGCAAGCAAATATAAGACACAAGAAAATAAAGGCTTTATCTTCATATCACTTTTGGTAAAAAAGATTAGGGAGGAAATCTACATTTATATTAAAATAAATGGGCTGTACTGTGCAGTAGGACTCACATAAACACATTCTATACAGTATTTATTAATTTCTTATAATAACCCTAAAATGGCTGCTATAATTTTCCACATTTTAAAGATAATGAGCCTGTGCTGGGGGTGTAGCTCAGTGTTAGAGCACTGCAAGGCCCTGGGTTCTATCCCCTATACCACAAAAAATGAGTAAAGATGAAGAGACTCCCATTTACACATGTCTCTTAATAACCAAACCCAGAATCTGAACCTGGATCCTGTGACTTCCTGAAACTGCTCTCCACTGCCATTCCTGCACTTTTATGACCGGCCACTTAGAAACCAGAGTTGGCTTCTTTGAAATAAAAGATATCATGGCCCCCTAAAGGATGCACATGGCATTCCACACCTAGGTGTCTTAGGGTGGCCAAGGAAGTTCTCCTAAATGTCAAAACATAACAAAACTACCGGTCTCAAAATTCAAAAAAGGTTATAAATCTAGAAATGAATACTCTAAATTCTGTCAGATGTATTATATAATCCTAGACTAGTTGCTTCACATTCTTCAACATGAACAGCAACAAAGGTTTTCTTCAAGACAGGCATGGTGGTACACACCTGGGCCACAAATTCAGCACAGCTGACATTCAGCAGGTTGGCAGGCATATTTTTCTCCTACATGATTTTGAAGGCCCCAGTGAGATCTTTGGAAGGAGGGTCAAAAATATTTATCACATGTTAGACTTCAAGGAAGCCCGTATGTTGGCAGAATGGTGAAGAGCAGAAAAACAGCCTCTTTGAGATTTGTTGTCCCAACACTGGAATATAGCAACGTGAGGAAGAAAAGGAGGGAAGTGGGTCTCTAGGGCCCAGCAAGGATCCGAATCAAGAACTGAAGTGCACGGGGAAAGTGAAGAGACAGACTGCAATGCAGAAGAAGGTGGCAAGCAGCACTTTCTTCCTGAGCCCTGATTCACTGCATGAGAGGGATGGCTTGAACCTGAAGACACACGGTGACTATTAGCAATCCCAGAGGCCTTCATGAAGAAACACACCAGGGTAAGGGAGCAGATGACACAGCAGACTGCAGTGATGGGTGAGTTATTTGGGTTCAGGAAAAGGCCCTTGGACAGTAGCCATCTTGGAGAGAGGACAACTGAGCTCAGAATTCAGAGCAACTGTAGCTGGCTCCATTTAGCGGCTCCCAGTGTCAGGAAGAGGCAGAGCTGAATTCAGGAGCTCAAGGAGCTCAGTTCAGACAACACTACAGGCCAGTGCCAAAGAACCAGGGGCTACACCAAACAGGCAGCAACTTCTCATCCCCAATAAATTGAAGAGGTAGGATCTTGCAGAAGAGTCAAAATCCAAAAGCCAGCTACACCTGGAAGATATCTGAGTAGTCATTTCCTAAGGCTTTTAAATACTAGCAAAAAAGCTACTTGCTGTTAGCAATTTACAAGCATCAACCCAAGAATTAAACTAAAAAAAAAAAAATTGGAAAATAAGAAGACACTACTGAAGCAAGATATAATCCCAGCTCACCAAAGGCAAACACAAAGGGAAATCAGGTGGAACAAACTGAAAGCCACCCATCTGGGCCCTCTGAACTGCTAACAGTGGAAGTACAAAGCAGATGAATGAGGCTACAGAAAAATATTGAATTAGAAATAATCTCTCGAATAACTATAGAGATGGTGACCACAATGAAGGACATGGCTAGTGACTCTAGAGCAGACAGAGATATGAAAATAAAAAAAAAAATAGGGGCACTTAGGAAAATGATGGAAACCATGAATGCCCAACATAGAAGAGAAATAGACTATGAAACAGATTCAAAGAGACATTCAAGAGATTAACAATTTCAAGTATATGCAGCAGAATGAGCCAATGGGAGGACAAAATATCAGATACAGAAGACAAGATCGCAATTAGCGATCATAAAAAGAAGGATTTTTTAAAAATAGCATGGGACCACAAAAAAAAAAAAAAAATCAATCCAACAGCTGCCAGACGATACAAAGAAGAAGAATGTAAGATTGATCGGAGTCAATGAAAAAGCAGGACATAGCACCAATGACATAAAAACCTGTTCATAGACGTCATGGCAGAAAACTTCCCTGGCAGAGAAAAATAATTTCACATACAGGTAAGTGAGGCATATAGAACTCTCATTAGCCATGATCAAGAAAACTCTACACCAAGGCAAGTAACAGTCAAGAGTCCACAAATTTAACACAAGAACAGAATATTAAAAGCTGTTAGAGGGCCAGGCATGGCAACATATCCCTGTAATCCCAGCACTCAAGAGGCTGGGGCCAGAGGATCATTGCAAGTTCCAGACCAGACGGGGCTACAAAGTGAGCTCAAGTCTACCCTGAACTGCACAGTGAGACCCTGTCTCAAAAGACAAAAAAACAAACAAAAGCTGTTAGAGAAACAAATCATTTATAATGAAAGCCCATCAAAATCACAGCAGACTTCAACACAAACCTTCAAGTCAAGGACAGCTTGAAGTACTTCAAGTCCTAAAACAACCTCCAACTGAGACTGATATACCCTGCAAAACTACCTTTCAAAATTGGTGGAGAATACAGTGTGCCAAAGGAGGGTCACCAAGCAGGAAAAACCTCCCATACTTTCACAGAAACACACACTGTCAAGCAAGGATGTGACCCATCCTGATTGTGACAATGATAGAGGAGCTGAGAGACTCTATACATGTTTCCAAAGTAATACCTGAGGAAACTTAACTGACCTTGATAGACAGCAAGAGCTTACTTTTTATTAATACAAGTCTCACTTTAACTTTGTCTTAAACACCCAGCAGAAAAATACAACCAAAAGATGTGTAAAAGCAATACCACAGTAATAAGAGCTAGCTATAAAAGGGAGTTCCAATTGCTGACCCTCCTTCTGTCAGTTTATAGCTACACCAGTAGCTAGGCACTATGGTTCACTAAGACAGGAGAAACTACAGTGGAATCTTTAAAAGCACAGTAAGAGTCTTTAAATTCCTTCTCTCCATCTTCTTACAGCTAAACTAGAAAGACTTATAATGAGAAATATCAGACTTATAACCTCCATCAGTAGAGGGGTCTAAAAAGCAACTAGGTATAACTGCTACTCCAAATGCTCTTAGTTTTTCCATGTGGCTCTTTCTTCAAGCTGCTTTTTCATTCTAGCATTCATGCTCTGACTATACACGCTTTAATTTCTTGGAAAATTTTGTTTATTCTTGCCTACAGGCTGCCAAACTCCAAGTGATCATTCAAATGGAACCAATGATAAAGGTGCCTGGCTCCTTTTACCAGCATCCATTAGATCAATCTCGTAAAGGGAAATTATAACTACTAAACTGCAACATGACTTCCAGCTATTAGATTAGCTGAACTCACTGTGGTTTCCCCTACACTGATCCTTCTCAGCTCAAAGCAGCTAGATGAAAACTATGCCCCTTCTTCCCTAACTGAAGTTAGGGATATTCTCTTCAGAGGGGGAAATATTATAGACAGCTAAGTTAGCTAGAAATATAGTATGCAGCCAGACAAGCCTGGGCCCTTGAGGGAGTCAGTGCAGGAGATGAAAATATATCAAGGCTGAGCTTGGAGGCTGTCTTGGGTTACTTTTCTCTAGTTGCTGAGAAAATATCCAACACCCAAAACTAAGAAAGGAAGGGTTTATTTAGCTCACAGTTTGTGGAGGTTTTAGTCCATAATCAGCTGGCTCCAAGGCAGGGTGGTGGTATGGCACAGGGCTAACAGCACAAGGTAGCAGAAGACAGCAAAAACAACAAGAGCAAAAGTAGGAGAGCAAGCCTCTTTTCCTCCCTTATATTGTATGCCCGCGCATACAACCACCCTAGGGTGGTTCCTTTAC